AAATTCTATTCATCAATAGATGGCGGTGCGTGCAGAGTAAAACATCACGTACGTGTGAATCCCACTAAACTAAAGCTAACGTTAGTTTTAGTTCAATGATGAAATCCATGGTGTATTCCTTTAACGGCGCAGTGGCATAATCGCTAGAACATCCGTCTCTTACACCGGGATCCCGGGTTCGAGTCCCAGCTGGGGAACATATTTTCCCCTTTTTTCATTTTTCATTTCTTACTTTTTAATTTTAATTTTTAATTTTTAATGTTTTTTATCTTTTGATTTTTTATTGTTTTTTACTGTTTGGGATGGGATGGGATAGGATGGCATGGCATGGGATGGCATGGGATGGCATGAGATGGCGTGGGATGGGATGGGATGACATGGCATGGCATGGCATGGCATGGCATGGCATGGAATGGGATGGAATGGGATGCGGTGCGATGGGATGGGATGAGATGGCATGGCATGGCATGGCATAGCATGGCATGGGATGTCATGGGATGGCATGGGATGGCATGGGATGGCATGGGATGGGATGGGATGGGATGGGATGCGGTGCGATGGGATGGGATAGGATGACATGGAATGGGATGGATGGATGGATGCGTGGATGGATGCATGGATAGATAGATAGTTGGATTTTTTTGGGGTATTTTCCTTTCAACCAAGCGGCCACTAACTGAGTAACGCCACGGATTTCCCCGGGCAAGGTGTATAATATACCATAGCTGAGAAATATTATATAGCGTCTACTACACTGCCTTGCGTTTATAGGACGCAATGTGGTTTTTGGAGACCACTGCATGGAGAATTTCTAAGAAAAGCAGCTTTATATAAACCGCGAAATACGGTAATTGATGTAGTGATCGTCAGTGTACGGCTGTGTGTGCGTGTGTGCGTGCGTCTGTGTGTGCTCTCGAATGTATATATGCATGACAAAATACCGCTTCTAAACTGGCTACCGTCCGTCAGTTAGCACCCGTTATGATATGCCGACACCCGGCAGCAGAACCAAGTCCACCCACAGATTATATATAAATAAATAAATAAATATATATATATATACATTGTTTCGATTATATATAAGTTTAAGTATAAGGTGCTATGAGCGTTGTACGTTCCGTCAGATTTGGTGGGCACGGACGTGAAATGTGGGGCGAGCTTGAAGTTGATGGCCCGCTGTAATAGTTGTATACCGGCCACACTCAAGCTGACATCCGCACGAATATGAGATCACGAGCGCATCGTGCGGTCGTGAATTCTCTCTCCTCTACGCGGCTCCTGGTGGCGCAATATTCGTCACGCCGCACGAGTGCATTGCAGGTGTACGTGAGGAACTGTATCAAGAAGTGTGTCATGGAACTGTGTGAGTCTTGGAAGTCTAAGGGGAACGGCTAGCACTGACACGGGCCAACACAAATACACACACGCGCACGCGCGCGCGAACACACCACGCAGACGAGGAGCACATAACACAAGGTCACTTCGACGAGGCGAAACGCACGGGCTGGTACACGCGAGCGCGACGCACTAAACAGAATAATTAAGTATAATACAAGTATATCCTTCCTCTCTACACTATTGAAAATTTGCTTTCTGGACGCTTTGGTTTTAAACATACAGCCTGAATGAATTAGCCATGCACTAATAAATGAGATGACAACGTGTGCTGTTCAATGTGCGGAATGCCTTGGGCGAGAAGAAACGGAAGCGATGTCTAGGCGCAATGTTATAGCAAAACTGGCAAAAACTGATATCACCCTATAGCTATTAAGTGGCTGGTGGGTATGTGCGTTTTTAATGAGTTCACCGGTATTATTTTAACTGGCAAATAAAATATTTACATATTATGTTGACCAAGACGGGATCGCAGGCCGTATAATCTCTCATAGGTAACTGTCGCTACCTTTGTGGGCTAGCAATATATTACTATTAAATATGTCACTGTTACGTCTGCTAGAGCAAGCCTTATGATTTGGAAAGAGAGGCGTCGGGATTTCCGTTTTGACGTTAGCCACTGCAAGCGTATTAACGCAGCCATTTTAAAAAATCTATAATTTTTTAACAATATATTATGTTATGTCAGAGATACTATGCAGCGCGAATAAGACCGTGCACAGTTTCCAGGGAAAATTGGTACTAAACACCTTGTGAAGGGTTTTGACTATAAAAGTGGCTGGTTGGCTATATACTCTCCAAGTTAAAATTATTATTGGCATATTATATGTCATGTAGCGCACATGCTATTGGCTGAATTAAATCTTTTTACATTGCGGCTAGGGCACTCCTATAATGGAGTAAATAGAGGACGGTTTTTTTTTATATCTGTTAAACTACTGCACGTACCATTTTAAACGTATAATTTACGACATAATATTAAGTTATGTTCCAGAGATATTGGCATGCATGATGCATCGCGAACCGAGGTCTGTATATATCATGTAGGCACATATCGCTCTTTCGCACTTATATTTTATTAAGCTGTTATTTCAGTACAGCTATGCATTTTCTAGTGGAATCGGGTCCGAACTGCCGAGCATTAAGCGATTGGGCACCGACGAACAGTGCTACTATAACGCTGGGCAGGCGTCGGATGGGGCTGTTTCTGTGGCTGGAATTTTATCCGACACTCCGTTTATATCATGACATAGCGCAATTCATGCGCTATAACTTGTGTGGGCGCGTACTGCGATTGTACTGCACGCGAGCGTGCATAGTTTTTGCCAGCCCCATACTGGGCTTGTCTCTCAGTGCGCTCCAATAACGCCATTGAGCGGTATAGTTTTTGTAGCGTTGGTAAAGGAGAGAAGAAATCCGGGAAACATAGCCTAAATCAATCATTCGATTTCTTTAAATGCCTAGATAACGATACTTGCTGGTAGGCCTATCCCTATTTCAGCGCCTTAGCAATGATTATTACCAACAGAAATGTCATATTTGTATTGCACTTTTCGATCGCGAGATTTCTTCACCGCACTCTCGCTTCGATTATACGCGCATTTCTTATTATTGCCTACCACCATGCACAATACATCGGCGTTCAGGTAGGATAATCGAGCATACGACTGTAAACACACACAGCGCACGCAGCACGCCGCGTGGGTTGGTTGGTTGGTTCGTTGGTTGGTTGGTTGGTTGGTTGGTTGGTTGGTTGGTTGGTTGGTTGGTTGGTTGGTTGGTTGGTTGGTTGGTTGGTTGACTGGTTGATTGGTTGGTTAGCTGGTTGGTTGGTTTGTTTTATTGGTCAGTTGGCTGGTTGATTGGTTAGTTAGCTGGTTTGTTGGTTGGTTGGTTGGTGAGTTAGTTAGTTGCCTAGCTACCTAGCTAGATAGTTAGTTAGTCACTCACTCACTCAGTCAGTCAGTCAGTCAGTCAGTCAGTCAGTCAGTCAGTCAGTCAGTCAGTCAGTCGGTCAGTCAGTTAGTCAGTCAGTCAGTCAGCCAGCCAGCCAGCCAGCCAGCCAGCCGGCCGGCAGGCAGTCAGGCAGGCAGGCAGGCAGGCAGTCAAATTTTACGACACTATATATTTCATTTGTGTAGTATTTAATTTGATGAAATCCTCAATTTAATATATACACATGTGTTTGCGTAAATATCTTGAATCTATTTATAGTCAACCGTACGCCTCCCTAATGCTCATTCGATTATATCATGAACATTATGTGGGCTTAAATATACATAAATTCATGTACGTAGTTCTTGATAACAGATATAACATATGTAACAAAAAATGAAGCAACAGGTATGTATATGTTTCAATAACACATTATTATTATAATTATTATAATTATTATTACAACTTAAGTTTTAGCTATATAAATATACAAAAATAAATACCATTCTCATCGTGCCCGTAGGTTTGAACCTTCATAAGGCTAACATATAACATCCGCCAATTACAGCTTCTATCACTGAACTGCTCTGTGATCAAATGCTTGACTAGTTTTCCTCTGTTTCTCTTATATTAACATTGAACTGATATTAGGCCACGAATAAATTATAATAACGCCACATTTTCAACGATTGGTACACAACGGTTGACATCGAAATCAGTAGCTATATATGCACTGAAATATTAGATATACATCCAGCTTTGGTACGATTATCTTCGATTTTGTCAATACGAATCCATTTATACTAACATATTAACACGCTCTATAATAAACAGTTCGAATCAGAACGACCGTCTGCCATCAGCAGTAATATTATTGAGCATTTCAGTGCAATAGCATGAAGCATGTGCGGACATCAGATGTCGCGCCCATCGCTCTAGTATGGTTATAACGATCACGTATAGCACCTGCGCACGCACGTAGGGAGCAGCGGCCTGTATTATTACACCAAGGTTGTCTCATATTAACCTGTATCACAGCACAGAGGTACCAAGCAGTAGGTAATAGCAGCAACTAAGTGCCTCCATGATTTCATCACTCGCGCCAGCATCCACCCCCACAACAGGATGGGTCAGGATGCCGGTGGCTAATATGTAAACGTAGCCACCTACGTCACTGCTCAACCTACCACTCCCTGAACTTCCGGAAATGCGTCGTGTCTCTCGTTTCAGATGACAAACTTCGGAAAATACGGTTCATTGCACTATCAAGCAAGCCCGTGTATTAACTGGTTAATAATAGTTTTTTTTTCAATATCGGACGCAATAATCTTGAAGACCCACAGAAAACGCGTATATGTGCTCGTCTCATGTAGTACAGCACATTGCTCACACTAACCTTACCAACGACCGCTTTGGTACTTGGTACTTGGTCACAATCTACAAGCGGCTACAAAAAGTACAAAAATATTCCCGACCCTGAATTCATTCTGTAATTCACTATCGTTTCGTCACATACCCCGGAATGTAAAATGCATAACAATGACAATAATTTACTATGTTTCGTATTTACAAGGCGTGAAAAATAAATAATAGCTATCTAGTAATAACTTAAGATTGGGCATGTGTGTATATATGATACAGTTACATTTAGTAACATAAGTACAGTCAATGTTCTTTTTAACTCTCGCTCACACGCACACACACACACTCTCGCTCTTTCTCACGTTCTATCTCTCTTTCTTTCTCCCTCTTTCTCATATATTATTTCTGACTGCTTGTTGCTGCCGTGGCGTAGAGAGCGGACACGTATTCCAAAAGTTTTACGTAGTCGCGAATAGTGATATAATCACGGAAATCGCGTTCTGATAGATTGGACATGTCGCGTGCTTCATCCGGCATCACGGCCTCAGTCACGGCTGGCAGATTCTCTTTGTGCCCCATCATGACCATGTCTACCCTGATGTTACATAGAAGCCACTTCAGCTCCATCTTCAAACTGGAGTATTCGTCGGTGAACGTTGGGTCGACCTTACCGTCGGCCGCAAGCTTCAGCTCATCGACGTATATCTGATCGAAGTTAACCGCGAAAATCTGCAGGTGCTCGTACATTTTCGGCTGTTCGATGAAAAACTGCGGAAGCAAAGATGGATCTGATTTAATGCTCGGAGATACATAAATGGTTGGAGAGAAAATAAGCAAGAAAGATAGATAACGACCGAACAAACGCACGTACGTGCGCACGCACGCGCACACTCACACGCACACTCACACGCACATGCACGCGCACGCACGCACGCACGCACGCACGCACGCACTCTCACACACACATGTACACACGCACACACGCACACACGCACACACGCGCATGTATGTATGCATGCATACATACATACATACATACATACATACATACATACATACATACATACATACATACATACATACATACATACATACATACATACATACATACATACATACATACATACATACATACATACATACATACATACATACATACATACATACATACATACATACATAGAAGGGAGAGAGTAACAGGAAGAGTGCACTGTAGAAGAAGGTTTATTTATGTCTCCGTTAAAAACAAATACATATAGTACGTAATATCAAAGTGCGTACACGTGCAGTAGACTTCTAGACGTACGCACGCCATTTAGAACGTATATAGCCACAAGGTATGCTAGAAGCCTCTGAAGTAATACAAACGACAGTGATACAATGGCAATAGATAAGCTGTCAAGATTATTATACCTGGTCGTAAGCAGCATCCAGGTAGGCTTCGTCAACGTCAACAGGCGGGGTAGGGAGCCATGGTAGACTATCATCAGCAACTGTGGGTGGAAAACTTTCGCTCCACCTGTGAATCACCTGAGAACAAAGACCATTCGCAGATGTTATAAAACGTTTGCGTTAGAAATGCGAGTAGAGTTTTTTAATATAAAATCTCGTAAGTCGTCCTAGCAGTAACACATGCTGTGTGTTGAGATAGACACCCGGTCATATAGGGATTCCTTCATAACGCCGACCTCATAAAGCCGGCTTCGAGAACACTATTCGATTTCATTTCAACATTTTGAGCTCACAAGATGCGACCCCCTATAGCGATAGAGTATCATAACCAATTATTCCACGCAAATGTCAAGGAAATCTCTTATACTAATCTTAGGTAATATTGTTGCAATAACACGTGTATGGCCTATACTATGTGGGAGGTACAGGAGGAAGATTTACGTTGCTCTGCGCTTTGTTGACTTTGGATTCTAGAGTCAATGTTCATATAGATTTATATGCGATGTAAACCCAAATGTGTAGTCCGTTAATGGCGTTTATGCTTAATTTTAATTCAAATGCTATCAGACACGAATTCTATTATTCATTGATGACACTAGAGTTATAAACGAAATGTAATGACGAAACGGGTGTTATCATTTAATGTAAGTTTAATTACCTACAAGATATGACGGCCGGAAAATGCACATAATTCCACGATCCCGATATAGTGAAGAGAATTCTAGTGAAATTTCGAAACACTTAAGGGGCAAGCGCATTAAAATGAGTGTCGTGGCTACGGGTCCCGATGTTAGCGACATCTTACAGCTATATTATGACAAAAATTATAACTGATGTAACCCTAACGCTAACTTTACCCTAACCATAACTATAACACTGACCCTAACACGAACACGAACATTAAACCTAATCCTAATGCTACCCATGCAGTTATAATTCTTTTTACACAAACATAGGCTACGAACCATAACAAACATAAAATTTCGCAAACTAGTTCGGACGCCTAGCCAATGCGTTAAATAAACTTCGGCAAAGCGTATTAGGATTAGATGGGTGGAGCACATGCCTCACAACCGGCGACCGGCTCTGTGTGTGGAAAGTGACTAAGCAGAATATTTGGTGGAATGTCGGCATAATGGCTTGATTTCGTCACGCGTTCGTAGCACTGTGCACACGTACACGCGGGTGCATGTTGCAATACCGGTGTCAGCGTTGATTGAACTCTCCCACGAGCAGACGCGTGCGAGTGCGTGGTGTGTGATACCCTGCAGCCTGTTTCATGCAAGTTCCGCAATGGCGCAGCTAGCCCCCCCTTGTCACCTCATTACCCAGCAGTTACTTCTAGACTGTTCTGCACGGGTTACTTGCGCAGCACGTGCGCTATGGGCCGCGTGAACGAACCCGGCGTCTTCAACGCACGAGTGCTTACGGCTGCTATAACGCCGCATTTTGGAGGCCGTTCGAACGAGACGTCGTGCAGCACGTACGAACGCTAAATATAAACATAACACTTACGAGATCCGTCTCCAGGCTTGCCGCCATCTCCAGCGCCACGACGGCTCGCCGCACCACTTTCATGTGCTGCGTTTCTACGGACTTGGACGCGTCGGCCGTCACGTCGAGTCCGCACGGATGCTGCCAGTAGTGAAGCCGTATGCTCCGCGCCGATCTCGGCTGCGGCTGTTCGGACGTCGGCGATGTGACGTCATTTTTACCCGTAGATTTGGCAGCAGCTGTGGACGCGAGCGGCGCCGCGTCTGCGGTCAAGGTTATCGTCGCCACGGCGACGATGCATGCCGTCAACAGGTAGTTTACATAGTGTTTGCCGGCTGTAAGCAACGATAGAAGCGTGTGACGAGCGCTGCTATGTAGGCGCTAGCGTCGCGGGCGCGTCAAACAGAAACCCGCGCCTCGCGTTTTTTTTACATGCAAACGAAAAGCGCGGGAAACACTGTTGCGCACTCGCTGGCCCGGCTCGCCCGCATAAATAACGCGGTCGATAACGACTGCGGGCTCTGGGAGACACTCACAGATTCTCGATTCCCGGAAGAACCGCACTGTCAGATATGATTCACGAAACACACTGTCCTGCCAATCAGCAAATCTCGCCGATTGCTATGTTTGTACTATTGATAAATAAATAAATATATATATATATGCCTATACTCGCCTAAAAAAATCGAACTCACGCTGCAAACCCGCTGAGGAATATGAATATGGCTTCTGTTACTACATTATGTGCACTATACCGAGGCGCTTGATCGTATCGTACAAGTCAAACAAGAGCAAAAAACCTCAATCGTAATCGGTGTCAACGTTCACCTGAAGCGTGTCTGCGTTGCGATCAACGCATGCAGGCTGAACAACCGCAAACACTCACCTTGCTGACTCTTCACGCTGAGCACAAGCACTGGCGTAAAATTGCTTAGCTGGGAAGACAACATCCTTAAATTGTTGAGAAACCGTGTAATGTTTACTATTAACATGCGTCACTCGGACCAGCCAGTGTTGCACGTGTGTACGCGTCTCCCCTTATCTCGTCGACTGACTTACCTCATCGTTTTGCCGCTGTTTATATAGATTGGCTGGAGTCGCTACCGTTTGGCAGAGCGCAGCCACGGAGTATGTAATTACGTCAGTGTATTCAGTTTTGTAGCCCATATACGCTAGTTCCGCTTCTATACATGATCGCACCCTCTTATCTATTATGCCGGTATCCTCTTGGGGAGTATCACTGATGCGTAAACGGGCCCCTAACATGTATATCTGCCGAGCGGTAAAATCCATACGTATTTCGCAAGCGGCTGACCAATTGAAACAGGGGGTGGGGGCAGTTGTCATGACGTCAGTGCCAACGGTTTTCATGAATGAATGGGATGGGCGCTGTCACTGCTTTTTACACATTCAGTAATCGAGGCATGCTCGGTTACGAATCGTTCTATCTTTATATGTTATCTACTTAAATAAACTCGTTTTCACTCCAGACCTGTTTGCTATATATTTTCACGTGATAAGCAAACATGCAGTTTAACCCAGGGGTCCCCCAGCCTTCCCCAGGAGTCCATACATAGACTTGAGGGCGTAAGGACTTTAGTGCAACTTTAGTACGGAGTTTAGTACTTTAGTGCGGACTTTAGTACGGAGACTTTAGTGCAACCGTGGTCCGTATATGTTCATTTGCACTTTTTATAGGTCTATAGCCTTTTGCCTGATTTTTAAGGGTTACATAAAACTTTCAAGATGCTATATTCTAAGATAAAGCGATGGGTACAATTTAACTATTTTAAATCTTTATACAAAGATAACATGATACATGTTCTCTCACGCCCTACCATAAACAACATAAACACGCACGCACACACGCACATGCACACCCGCGCATATGCTCACGCGCGCTTTCTCAAACACACGCACACACACACACACACACACACACACACACACACACGCGCGCACACACACACACACACACACACACACACACACACACACACAGAGAGAGAGAGAGAGAGAGAGAGAGAGAGAGAGAGAGAGAGAGAGAGAGAAGAGAGAGAGAGAGAGAGAGAGAGAGAGAGAGAGAGAGAGAGAGACGAGACGTAAGACGGAACG